ACAACGAATTGCCATTCTTAGACGTATTGGTGAAGAGAACCGACACTGTGTGGGAAACATTTGTGTACCGAAAACCTACTCACACGGGACAGTATCTGAATTTTTGTTCAATTGTTCTATTTTTACTTGTATTTTATTTCACTGTTATTTCATTTCAGGTTCTTTTGCTCAATATAATTGTTATTTTCAGCTATTCTTTTTTAATTCTTCTTTTTTATTAGTTCCTTCAGGGATTTTAAATCATTTTATATAATATCAGACAATAGAAGTTCGAACTAATCAAATTCATCATGAAACATTGTCAATCACCTTCAAACAAACATTATAAATGAACATGCATATTTTGAAATGGCATATTTCCCTAATATCTAATAGTTTTCTAGGTTTATAGAGATTGCTGGTCCTCTCTCTCTTGTTCAGCTTATATAAACATTTTATGATTTCATTTTGTAACCGTTGTAAAGGTTTCAAATGAGAGGAATTAGCTGTTGCCCAAACTGATGTTAGGTATTGAAGATTAAAATGAATTAAAGAAAAATAAATTGTTTTCAAATATTTCAAAGGAATAATATTTCTTATTTTATAAAATATACCTACAAGAGGTGCTATTTTCTTTCTGAGTCGACTGATATGTGAATTCCAAGATAAATTTTGATCTAGATATAAACCCAGAATTTTTTCTTCTTTCTTCAATTCTATTGAATTATTATTGAAATTTAGAAAAAACTTTTTGTAATCTGATTTTTTTCTGGATATAATTGTATAGCTAGGTTCGTTGAAATTCAAATATAACTCATGAGATCCCAACCAAAGAGATATTAGTTTTAAGTCTTCTAAAATTGATTTTTCAATGATATTGGTATTTTTAGAAAAGTGAATGAGGGTTATATCATCAGCAAAAAGACTGATTGAAACATATAAATTCAGTTCTATAATAGAATTAATGTAAATTGAGAATAGAGTCGGACCTAAAACAGAACCTTGTGGAACTCCACACTTAATGGTTTTCAATGAACTCTTTTTTTCCTGAATCCGTGTTAGGAATCACACGTTAAAAGGTAAGACCTCGTTAGTCCTTAGCTCGCACAAGTTTCTCAACTTCTGAGAGTTGTCGTTCGTATGGGGGCGACAGCTGATTAACGGAAAAACAGATTTTAAACAGATTATATCTAAAAGGGATTAGGCAGCAAAAGTTCCCCGACTTCTTACCGTTAGCACCACCGCCTCGAATAACATCGTCATGTTCCAATCAATTTATACAGAACATGAATAAATAATACATACCTTCACATAATTTCTTCTCTTAAATCGCTCTGTCCATAGGTGAAAACCTTATAGAAATCCGTTCGGTAATTTTTGAGTTTATTGCCTTCAGACAGACATACAGACAAACACAGTGAAGTGACTTTCTTTTAAAAAAATATGGTGATATTCTTTATATTTCATTTGAAATCTTTCGAATGATTTTCTGAGGAATTCTCTGAATATATCCACACCACAATCAATATGATCTGGCTGGGATGAGAATCGGCCTGAGCATATTCGTTTCTTGGGCAAAATTTCAAGTTGCTGTCCTATAAATATATAAAATGTTTATGAAAACGAAACCTAAAACAAATCGGCTGAGGAATGATTGTAACGTTAGAACTCTATCCAAAGAATACTCCTCAGTAAGCACGACTTCCACATCGATGACACCATTTATAAAATCGACAGTAGGAAGAAAAGTCAAACCCGTTCATCCAATTGGGAAGTTTCTTTTATCTCTCTGTAGCTTTCACTGCATACAGCAACTGAAATAACTTAAAAACCGAAAGGGTTGCATTCGCAGTACTATACGATGTCTGTTAAAAAAATAAAGTGAATTTTTATTTTTCTCGAGGAATATTTATTCATTTATCAATTTCTATTTTGTCCCCATTAAAGTAGTTCCCCCCAGCGCTTTGTTTTTTCATTTTTTTATACTCAGTATTTCACGCCATTCATCTTGATTATTTTATTTCATTCTTGTTGTTTGAATATGTTTGACATTTCATTTATAGTTAACCTATTCATTCATTCCAGAACACAATATTCTGTTTGCTTTACAAATTATATAGCATTGTTACATTTTTTGAATTCATATACTCATTAGTCATTCTTTTATTTGAAGGTGGTTGACAATGTTTCGTTGTGCATTTCATTGGTTCGGACTTCCGTTGTCTAATATGATATAAATTTATTTGAAACCCTTGAGAGAATCGACAAGAAAGTAAAAAGCTTAGCTGAAAAACCAATAAGCAAAAAAACTGAAATTACAATGAAATGAAATACGAGCAAAAATAAAAAATTGAACTGAAATTGAACACGGGATAAAAATTAAAAATGCTGCCTGTTCAAAAAATATGGTGAATTTTAATTTTTCCAAAGTACATTTATTTATTCAGCAATTTGTATTTTGTCCCCTTCAAAGCAGTCCCCTCAGCCTTTTTTTCAATTTTAGTATGTCCTTGAGGTCTCTCAGCCATTCGGATTTCATGTCATTTAATCGTAGCGAAACACCATCCTTTCATAGGTCTCTTCAATCTTGAAAACAGGAAAAAATCTTACTGGGCCAATTCTGGTGAATATGGTGGCTGAGGTATGATCACGATGTGGTATTTGTACAAAAAATTTCGAACAAGCAATGACGAGTGAGCAAGTGTATTATCGTGATGTGAAAGCCATGAATTGTTTCTCCACAATACCGAACGTTTTCTTTGTATTGCTTCTCGCAAGCTCCAAGATAATACTCCTTACTGGCTATACGACCATGTGGCAAGAACTGATGCACTACATCACGGTACTCGAAGAAAGCAGTTAGCAAAACCTCGACATTTAATCGAACTGGGCGTGCTTTTAATGCTCTTGGCTCTTCTAGGTTCTTCCATTGGGACTATTGGACTTTGGTTTCGATGCCATAACCATATACCCATGATTCATCAACAGTTATGACCCTTTTTAGCAAAGCTGGATCATCGGTGACGTCATTCAACAATTCCTAAGCGGTGCTCATACGACGGCTTTTTGTAAAAATTCAGCAATTTTGGAATGAACTTCGCTGCCACACGTTTCATGTCCGAAATTTACGAAAAAAATGCATGGCATGAACCAGTCGATATGCCGATATCCTCAGCTACTTCTCTAATAGTGATTCGACGATTCTCTATAACTATTTTCTCAACTTCCTTTTTCTGTGAAAAGCTTGTACCACTTGTAAACATTTCAAGTGTATTGAGCATTTAATTTCATTTTTTACAAATAATTTCGAAGTGGATAGCAGTTAATAAAAACTCTAGAAGGTCCAAACAACAAATTAATCAACAACCTCTATGAACCCCAATAATTTATGCTGGTCCCGGGTGAAATAGAAGACGATATGATTTGCATCGACGTATTATGTTCAAAGATGAGTTTATTTCAACAAATGATGTTTTATCATCTCAAAATCATGAAAGATGACCAGGTGGTCTATAAAGAAACGATTGGTATGTAAAAAATAACTTAATAGGTCCATATTTTCTAAAAAGTTTGAGTGATAACATAATTTCTTGATCTCATACCTGATTTAATTCAGATTTTTTCATATTTCCATTAAATATTTTATAACTTTTGAAATCCTTAATCGGCGGTTGAAGTTGGTGATTATCTAAAAAATATAAATTGTGAACTTTACAAATACGCTCCAGTTTGATGTATAGTATAATCCCATAATAGTAGGCACTAAATTCTCAGAAATATTATTGCATTAAAACGAAAATGTTGTTGTCAAGGTTGTGATTATACAGGGCGTTCCAACCAAAACTTGATCCCCCTGTAAGTCAGAAACGGCGTGGGAGTCGAGTGATACATCATTTGAAAAGTATTTTGTCCCTCTATTACTTCTGTAATTTTTTTCGAAATTGGTTATTCGTTATTGAGAAATTAAATGTTGAACGTTTTATTCAAGAAAAAACAGAAAATTCGCTGTCTCTCGTTTTATTGAGGAAATCAACAAAAGTAATATCAATGGCATCACAATCAACGGATAAAGTGATCAAAATGACCTCCATCTAGTTCCATACAATGATACAGTCTACTTTCGAAAGCGTAATCTCAATGGAGACACGTACTTAAATATATTACAAGACTGTGATTACACAAATCATTACACAAATTTTAGAAAATGATGACAATTTAGTAGAAAATGAAATAACATTTCAGCAGGATGGTGCACCCCCTTTTTTTGATGTTGTTCGGGTGAGACAGTTTTTGGACGAACGTTTTCCAATGCGTTGGATCGGCAGAAGGAGCCCAGTGGAGTGGCCAGATAGATCACCTGATCTCACACCGATGGACTTCTTTCTGTGGGGACACCTGAAGCCGAAAGTGTACTCTACCAAGCCTACAAATCTAGAAGACCTGCGACAGAGAATTTGTTAGGGAATACCGATTGTTGACTCCGGACAAATTGAATAATGTAAGGAACACTTCCGAGAGTAAAATGTATTATGGGGAACTAGGTGCAGGTCATTTGGAACAAATTATCCATTGATTTTGTTTCCACTGATATTGTTTGTTGTTGAATTCCTCATTAAAATGAACGACAGCGAATTTTCTGTTTTTTCTCAAATGAACCCCCCATGCCATTGAAAAAAATAGGGGGGGGTAGTTTCATATCAGAATTAGTCCCCCTAGAAATAAAAATTGACGTGTTCTTTGAAATTTTCGATTACATGTCCGTTTCTGACTTACAGGAGGGAACGCCCTGTATACAAGACCATGTATGTGTAGTGTTCTGTTCACGGTCAAAGTCAGAATTAGGATGGTGCAACATATCGATCAGTATTGCGTATATGAGGGTGCAGTCGTACCAATCGCAGAAGTATAATGGCAAATACCGTTTTACAATGCTTCATTTCAAAGGTGAATTCACAAAAATGAAACCATTCAAATTTTAGCGGTTGTGGATTCACGATCTCTATAGATAAGTGCTACTCGGGAATTTCCGATTGTTTGTAAACAGGTTTAGAAATCATAACTATTTCAATCAGTTCTTAAGGGAAAATCACTAGCATATGATGTCTTTTTAATGTTCTTGTGTATACCTTCGAAATATTCCTAATAAGTGTTCCAGTGCAGTTATTTTTTAGTTTAAGTTATTTATTCACGATCTCATTTTAAGGTAACTTTTTCATATTTTGTCTGTTATTTATAGATTTTTTCTATTTCACACACATACCAGCTGTTTTTATTTAAATACTAGAGAGGTTAATTATAATGATAATATATTCTGCCATACATTATACATAAATAAATAGTTGTTTGTGGTAAACTTGTAAGAACAACAAATCTATTTTCACATCCTCACTTCGATGATTATGATTAAAAAACAAAGGTCACAACGAAAATAACTACATTTGTCGACCACTGGAACTTGACGAAATTTAAGTATGTTTGAGAATCTGAGACATGTTTATATATCACTAAAAAATTGTCTTTTGAATGGAGTTACAATGATCATTTGGGAAATAATAATTGAAAATATTTCAGTCTGCTGCAATTTCAAAATATAAAATGTGTAAGAATGAATTCTGAAGGAAATTATTTCGGTCAGATACAAAATAAAAAAATCCCTGCGAAATACTTTCGAATATATTCACATTGAATCACATGGAAATAAGTTTTCCTCATTCATTGTACTCTAATTTTTCATGTTGGGATGGCAAATGTTTAAAATTAAAAATGCACAATTCTTCCGCCTCATTGCCTGCCGTCATCGAACACCAAAAAAATCAACCCTTTCTTCAGATATTATACTTTCTTGGTGCACTTTGGCTGCGAGAGAGTTCTACTTGAAGTTGTAGAAAATAAACTTTCCCACAGTTTAAGCGCCTGAACATCGTTTTAGGGCTGATAGTTCTGGAAATATGCACTTTGAAAAAATTGAAAATAGCAGTTTCCGGAAATTTTAATCGATAAAATAACCTACTCTCAGTCTCCCTTCTTTGCGACCAGCGGGTTTTATTGTACAGTAACAGTTGTCGGTGTGTATTCTTTGAAAATATTGCTGTTTTGTGAAAAGTGTCAATGATAAAATATATTCATCAAACTTCCTCATTGTTTGCACCAACGTGTGTTAGATAGTTTGTGCTGTGTGGACAACTTACCTTAAAGGCTTCGATAAAGTATACCACACTTGTTAATGAAATGACAGGAATGAAAATCTGACAACCACAGCAAACACACTAAAAAATAGCTTTGGCATTGTTCTTGAATGGATCTGATATTGAATAAATTAAATTTTCTGAAGGTACCGTAAATATGCTTAACTATTCTTACCTGGAAATGAACAGATTCAATAATTGGGAATTTTTCAGTTCAGTTTGATCGTTCATAAGATTTTGAGAGTTTTTGAATTTGTTTATTTCCATACTCTCCTACAGGTTGAGTTTCAAACCTTTCTTCTGGAAATGGAGTGGCTTGAATTCATGGTTGAACTCATATTTCTCTGTGGTTAAATGAGTGGCATATGTGGAATTTATTTTTTTCATTCTCGAAACTATTTTTGTAATCCTTTATCCGGGCTTTGAACGTTCTTCCAGTTTGACCTATATATTCATATAGTTAATGAATTCATACCTGACCGTTTCAGGTAGATTCATTCATTAGAAAGTAGACATACAAGTAGGTGATATGTTAGAATATAAAATAGTTGTAATTTGGAGGTAACTTTTAGTTTACGCTTGAAGAAGCTATTGTATAGCGAAACACGTGTTGCGGTTTTGGTAAAACTCTTTATAGTGAAAATCATACAATAAACTGTATTCATTAGTTTTCTTATACAGAAAATTGTTTACTAGCGGTATAAGCTTTTCACAGAGAAGATGCGAATGACGATGCTCGACTCAGCTCAATAACAACCGATGAAAATGTTGAGAAAGTGAGAATCGTCAAATCACTACTAGAGAAGTTGCTAAGGATGTCGGTATATCGGTTGACTCATGTCATGCAATTTCTTGCCACATAGTTGTCATTACAAAGAAAACGTCCGGTATTGTGGAAAAACAATTAATGGCTTTTGCATCACGATAATACACCTGCTCACTCGTCATTGCTTGTTCGTAATTTTTTGGTCAAAATCAACACCGTAATCAGGCCTTAGCCACCGTATTCACCAGATTTAACCTCCTGCGATTTTTTTCTGTTCCCAAGATGAAAGGACGGCATTAAACGATGATTAGGAAGATGAAACCAAATCGCTAAAAGAGCTCAAAGACATTAAAAAGTATATATCAGAATTGCTTTGAGAATTACATAAAACGCTGGCACAATATCCGAGTAAGACTACTTCGAAAGGAATAATTAAATGTATGAATGAATATTTTTCGAGAAAAACTAAAATTCACCTCATTTTTTGAACAGACAGCGTATACAGAATTAATAATGCTCTAAATTCAAGACATAATCTATGGCTTCAATGTCAGAAACAACAATATTTTGTTAATGATGGCATACCTTTTAACGTGCGATTCATGGCATTAACAAATTTCTGAAAAGTGCAATTGTTCAATTTTTTGAAAAAGTGGAAGTTTTTGAAACTATCATTCATTGAAACAGAGTTCAGGTGTATGAATCATTTGTAGCTGAAATGCACCAAAAAATATATAAGTCATTATCCTAAAAAAAGTGCCGAGTTTCTTCAAGATGACGGCGGACATAGAGGAGGGGAAATTTTGCTTTTTATTTAAAAAAAATACTTACTAACCACCCTAGATAACACATAAAAATTTAGAAATACTTCTTTAAGTAAACCCCCTTAATTTTCGTATTTATTTTTTGAAATAAAATGGAGACTTACTGAAACTGAAACACATTTCTACAGGCTGTAATATTTTGTTAAATACTTACAAGTTCATTAAAAAATAATGATTAATAAATTCAACTTTCATTTTCCTAATACTATGGTATTAGGAAAATGATTAGGAATAATCAACTTTCATTTTCCTAATACTATGTTAACTATTACAAAATCACTTTGATCAAGAATTAAGAAAACAGGATGATATATTACATTCCATCCTAGACTCAAATAATGAAATTTGTCAATTTTTGAGGATGTTTATGACGAGCACTTCCATCTGAGTATTGTTTTTTAGGTGCAGCATGGATGTACACACATTTCCTTCCTACTATACTTTCTTCATCTATTTCTTATCTGACTCGGTCGTTGCTGAGAGTTTGAGATATTGGTTCTTGCGAGAGTACGGCTGGAGGGGAACTTTGTTGATCACGGCTGGTTTCTTTGCCAATTTGTGTGTTTGTGGAGCTCTGATGAGAGATCCGGACTGGATAATCGAAGAAGAGTAAGTAGATTCAAATCCGACCAAATGCATTTTTTTCGATTAGAGACTGGCCTACCTACCACATTGGTAGGCCGTGGTCGAATAGAAGTTTTAGCAATGACTGAGACTTTGACACATCATCAGTAAAATGTGCAATCAATGCACATTACACTGATGATGTCTGCAGTAGCAAACGAAATGTTTGGTACTACAAGTTCTATTTGACCACGGCCCCTACCAGCCTGGATTTTGTTTTCTCTAATAATGAATTTGAGTTTAGCTTTCTCATATTCTGAAGATGTGGGACTTGTATTCGTTGTGGAAGTTGATGATGATGGCTCTGGATGGAAAAGCAACGTATATAAGACATAGACATCTATGAAATGTAATAGCATAGATGTCCTCCAGGAATCATCTGAAATACTCTTTTTTTCTAGAAATTTTTCGAACTGGCTCATTAATTTTAGCCACCGTGTTCTTATATTTGAAATGTCTTTTCTGGTTGTTATTAGTTCCAGGCCAATGTAACATTTTGATAAATATTAGTATGTTTAAAACGATGATTTGTGAATTCAACTCAATGTCTAATAAACATTCCATTGTCATTTTCTTAATACGAAAGTAATGATTACAAAATCACTTCGTTCTGAAAATAAGTATAGCTTTTCGAATCTAGGAAGGATCTGAAAATTCTCACAACCTGCACCTTCTCCACTATGATATCATTAATGCAAATTTAAGATGCATCTAGTTTGTTAGGTTAGGTCTAAAACCTCCACCGCAACCCGCAAGGGTTCATTGTGGCTCTCACCTTTTCATACTCGATCGAATAAACCTAGCTTCTTAACGAAGCCGATTAGCTTGTGAGTGTGTGTGAGTGGTCTTTCGGGTCAGATGGTTAGAGTACGGCTCTGCCGACATACACTGTCTTCCGACAGTCTGAATCTCTGCATATGATGATTCAAATGAGAGTGACCTGTAAGAAGGCCTGTTAGACATCGTAGTTCATCCCTACTGTAGCCCAACAACTGTTTGGTATCAATCTTCGAAGGGTGAATAAACGCTTTGGAGTGAGCCAATCCTGGAAGATTCTGGCAAAAGTCCATAAATCTTCTTGCCATTCAGGTGTTAAATCTTTGTGGGCACGACCATATCGAAATTTAGAAAAAATGTCCTACATTTAACAAGCTGTACATAGGATGAGATGTTTAACAGGTAGAGGACGGTAGTTTTACCTTTAGGTTTTCAGCTCCAATTTTCAGTATTTGTAAATTGAAATGGCATCAAATTCCATTGAAAAATAATCACTTTACGCATCAAAATGCGAGTCCTTTTGAAAAGTGTATCACTGGGGGAACTAAATTGAACTTTGAAGAGGTGGTAATTTGCCACGTACTTCTGGCATACGCCTACCAAAGGGATAAAAGCGGTTTAAGTCAGCTACGAAAGTGAAAATGAAAGAATCTGCTTATTTTGGATAAATTCCTACAGCGTTAGGTTATATGCTTGAGCAGCTTCATGATCCGAAATATTGGTCCAAAATATATTTAATTTGACACTATTTTGTCACAATCACTTAGTGACTTTACGACTGAACAAAACTTTACCTCGGTTTTTTACTTACAGTTTTTGAAAAAGTGTTATTCAGTAGTTAGTGGATAAGGAACACAAAAAACTGGTTAAAAACATTGCAGAGAGAAAAAGGTGATAACTGTTAACCAGCTATCATACGAAAACTATTGTGGATTGGTGATAATTGTTAATTTTGCCCGAATACTATTGTGCTTACTATTAATAATCGAAACATCGTCAAGTAATTTCGTTCGAAACCTTTTCAAACTTTTCACTTTATTTTTTCCTTTTACTTATATTCTGTATTTCGCGCCATTTATCTTGAGTATTTTATTTCATTCTTGTTATTTTCACAAACTATATCTAATGATTTGATCTTCACAAACTTTATTTTCAAAAAATATATCAAGACATGTTTCGCTATCACAGTATCTTTTTCGTAGTGATTAATATGCTGAAAGTTGATTCAATTATATGCTCCAATTTTTATATATTTCACGTAATCATGAGTAAGAGATACCTACTTAGGTACTTCTTCGATAATGATAATGATCATTGGGATGATTGGACTTTGGTTTCGATATCATACCGATATACCCATGATTCGACATCAGTTATGGCCCTTTTAAGTAAATCTGGATCAACGTTAACGTCATTCAACAATTCCTGAGCGATGGTAATGCGACTGTTTTTTCGATGAACATTCAGCAATTTTCGAACGAACTTTGCTGCCACACGCTTCATGCCCAAAATTGCATAGCATAAGTCGATCGATATGCCGACATCATCTGCAACATCTTTTAAAGTGATTCGACGATTTTCTGTAACAATTTCTCGACCTTGTATCAATTTTAAACATTTTTATTGACTCAGAGTACAATCGCCGTATGCCATTGTCAATATTTCGAGTGTTTTTATGCAAATTTTTTTAACCATTTTTTTCGAATTATAGAAAATCACCAAACCCGTAAAACACTACTTCTCTAACTTTTATGCATCTCACCAACAAACTTATGCTAAATAGATGAAACTGTGAACATATGTTCGAGACGTGTGTACCAACATGACAAATAAAAAATCGCTAATCAAATTTACAAAGCTCGCAAAATTTGAACATCCACCTCAGTTTTTGAATAGTCCAGAGGGGTCTGACCTCTGAAACATATTCAATCAATTTCAAATAAATATTAGGTTTTGTAATATACCTTCCTTATTTTTCAGGATCTTATATAGAATGATTGTACATCTATTAGTTACACAGTTGTTAATTGTATCGATAAAATACTCGTATGTATCAAGTCAGTCACCATCGCCCTGTCCAGATGTTTTTTCTTATGAACAAAAGGACGTCGACGAAGACAGATGGTATGGTACTATATCTCTCAAAACTCTCGAAGACCTTACTGGAGTTTGGATAACTATTCAGCTGGACAAGCCGGCAGAGATTTTAGGGGTGAGTTATTTAAAGACTTAGGCAAGCTGAAATTATCATAATAAAGATTTATACCTTTAAAAAAACGAACCACTTTCATAAATATTATTTAATCTGTACTATGTTTTGGTTGCTTTCCGGGTTTTAGCGTGGCAATCAACTTCAGTGGCGTATCAAAGTTGACGTTGATACGTCAAGAAGAGTACTTCGACCACGCCACTGAAGGTGGCGGCAAAACCCGGAAACCAACCAAAACATTGACGCCAGCCGTGAAAGCCTACATTTCTATAATATCTTACTTTCAGGATTCAATCGAAGAACAAAACAACTCATTTACTGTTTTATTGATTCTTATATCAACCAAATGAAAATTTCAAATACAAATTTTGAATTCAAAACAACAAACTGAAACTGAATTAACCGTGTTCACTTGAATATTACCGGAGTTTTATCCCAAAACTAAACCGTTATTTTAACACCTCGACACATGTTTCGTATATTTAATTTAATCTTCCTCTTGAAGATGATCACATGGTGATCGAAACACGTGTCGATGTGTAACGGTTTGGTGTTGGGAAAAAACTCCAGTAATATTCATTACTACACCAAAGGTTTCAAACAGTGCATCTCAAGTACTTTTTCACTTGGAGAAACATTCATATTCTCAGATTTTATCAGTTTAGTGAAGGGACGCACTGTTTTGGCAACATTTTTAAACCTAACCTTTATTTTTCATGAACTTGAAATTGCTTTAAACAAGCAATCTTTAGATATGAGTATATAATAAATAATACCGCTAATATTAGTTTTTTTCTTCCAATTTATATCTGAAGTATCTTTATGGAGAGTTTTTTGTAGTTATTTTCTTTTCTTCCAATTTTTTTTCGAATGATGGAGAAGTAGAAACCAAAAAAACATTTTTCTTATCACCACGCATATTTTTAACAAAAACTTGGACCCTAATCTGAGGGAAGTCGAAATCATTTTGTTCTGCCATGTAGGGTATTTTACTGGTGTTGGTGTTGACAGATACTCTGAAGAACATTAAAAGATTAATATGTTATTATGGGTGGTTCTGATCATACGTGCTTTCGGTAGAATTATGCCGATATGCCAAACTCAATAAATTCCTTCTTGCTGTATAAAGCAAGGGCGGATCCAGCTTTGGCGTTATAATTTAATTTTGATAATGATAGATACAAGTAAAAAGTAGGTTTTTTATTAATACATGTAAGTAATGTTCTTAAAAATATCTACATCTACATATATTTGAATAACAAAATCAATTTTTCTTTTACGTTTTCTCCCGAAACGTGTTTTCATTTCATCTACTTCAATGAGCTCATTTTTATGGATATGGAGAAGTGCCAGTGCGTGGCATATGAAAGGTGGCGGCGTGGCAGAGGCGCGGTAAAATTCAAATTTTCGTGGCGTTCGTTCCCGAATAATGCATTAACCGTCAAATAAAGTATTATATTAAATTAAATAAATATTGAAAGTACTCGAATAAAATCTATATTGTGACAAAAAATATATAAAAACATTATGTTTACATTATGTTACAAGTTTAATTAGTGGCCCACCTAGGTCCTGGACCCAGAACAGCGGGGGGGTGTCGTAACCCATGACCCTCTCTCTGGATCCGCCCTTGGTATGAAGTGGTTTTCTTAGAATTATGATACCAGCTCTTTTCCAGTAACTCTGTTCGAAAAAATACAAATTGTTTTGAAAGTAATGAAATTTGGTGATATCTGCATTCTTCGAAAGAATTCGTTGAATAATCAAGCCAATATGTTATTGAAATTAATATATTTCCACGAAGCCATTCGATGAGTTATATTACCTTATCAGAAATATTCTCCTTTTTGAGAATAACGTTCGAAATGACAGTATATTGTAGACACCCGTCTTCCTGTTTGAAGGTGGTTGACAATGTTTCGTTTATATATCATCAGTTCGGACTTCCATTGTCGAATATAATATAAATTGATTTGATAACCCTAAAAAAAAATCAAAAAAATAATGTCCGAAAACAGTTTTATTAAACAAAAAACTGAAATTACAAAGAAATAACATACAACAACAACCAAACAAATGAAAATTGAAATATTAATAAAAGCTTGATGTAGTATACCTTGTAATTCAGTAAGTTTAATCGTTACAAAATAACTGATGATTATAGAATTTCATAATTACTTTTTAGAATCTAGTCGTGTACGGTTCTTGGATAGATTGAAGGACAGTTTTTGAATACCTAACTGAGATAAGCAGAGATAAAATAACCTAAATTACCAAAAATTTCTGTTTGAATCATGGCCCATAAAATTAGACGTTAATCATAAAGAAACGTTATTGAAATAGTCTTTGGAATTCAACTAATAATAAAAGTTTTTTTTTTTAATTAATTTGAACTTGAGTAGGAAAACATCCTTTTAAAGAGCGCTATCAAAAGAAATCTCATAACAGGGCCGTATTCAGGATGTGTTTCTCGGAATAAAAGAAGCGAATATGATGAAGATTTCTACAATGAGGTTATTGGTATTTTCAATTCTTGTCGTAAAATAATCATCAGAAGTAAAGAAAATTCTAAAGCACAGTTTACTGTTGAATTGTACCAATCAATAAAGACAGGAGATAACATTTTTTTATAAAAAACGCCGACCCTCATAATTTATATTTTTCAGAGCAGTACATTATTGTATAGTACTAAAAACTATAAGAAAAAAGAAAAATGAAAGAAATCATAACCAAAGATTAAAAACATTAACAGCCTCAAAAAAGATGTCAAGAATTCAACTATCATTATTATCATTCATAAATAATATAGATGTAAATAAATACAACTGGTGATTTCGATGATATAAGTGTAAAAGTTATTGAAAAGATTAAAAGTTAAATTTTATGTGAAATTTCTCAAAAATCATTTGAGCTAGGCATAGTGCCAGAAAAAAAATAGCTAAGACATTTCCAATTTTCAAAAATATGATATGAGTAACTCATATCAAAAATTGTTGAAAACATTATCAGTGGCAGACTTTTAAACTTAGAAAAAATAAAAATTATTCATTATATGCTGTTAGGTAGTACAGCTTCCACATATATGATGACTAACGTTCAAAATGATATTGATTATTATAAAAAAATGTGTCTGGTTCTTCAAAATTACTTGTATGACAGAAAACAGTATGCATGCATAGGAGGTTAGAATAGTATTCTGTATTTGAATTGAAGGGTTTATATTTTTAGGAGTGATTAATTTTTGGGAAAGAAAGTTTTTGGCTTTCTACTACTTCATCTTGATACAAATAAAAGGGATGAAGGAATTCATGAATGAATTGTGTGTATTTTCTATAACGTTATCCACAACGAAAATAACT